CCAGAAGAAAGCGACCCTCAAAACACAGAAGAAAGCGACCCTCAAAACACAGAAGAAAGCGACCCTCAAAATCCAGAAGAAAGCGACCCTCAAAACACAGAAGAAAGCGACCCTCAAAACACAGAAGAAAGCGACCCTCAAAATCCAGAAGAAAGCGACCCTCAAAACACAGAAGAAAGCGACCCTCAAAACACAGAAGATAGCGACCCTCAAAACCCAGAAGGTACTTCTGCACTTTATAACTCATCTTTGAATTTTATTACAAGGTAAACCTTTGGATGTTCCTCATCGCTTTTCATCTGGTTCCATTCAATTGATTTTTATCATTGAGAACTTTTATTGTTTGTTTAAAATCGATCACTCAAAATGCATTCATTAATCGCAGACTGTATTTTGTTACTTATCCTATTATGAGGGAGAAACAAAGTAGACATAAGGTTTTTGGTGTGGTCAGCATATAAACTAACATAGACACGATTTACATGAAATGGTGTTTTACGTAAAAAAAACGTTTTTGAAAACAAATTGATGCAACTGCAAAGATTCGCTGAAACAACCACTTGGTGTGGATTTCGTCAGTAGGAACGAAAAGGCAATTGAATTCAAGTGATGGACAACTTGTCTACGAGTTGAAAATACCTCTTGAAAACAAAGCGCCGAACCTGAATGAAAAAAATACAAGCGAGTAGTAAAAGGAGAAAGTATTTTTAAGACCMTGCCGTGGACACGAAACAGGAAATTTTAGTTTCGATATGCCGATGAAATTTCCGCTTCTGCACGTAAATTTTCCGCAGTCAGGTTTGACGTCAGGCTCCAGGTTCAAAATATCCAGGTATGGTCCGGAAACGCGTTGAAGGAACTAGCAGTGGTTATCTAAATAGTAGTTTTAACGATTCTTATTTTCACCTCAAGATAAAAGACTTGCTTTTATCACCTCATCCAAAAAACTTAGTATTTCTGAGCAAATTGATAGAGGGGAGCTAAGCTTTGCACTTTTCAGAAGACGAACAACCGGWAAAATCCAAACGCGTAGAAGACATRCCTGGTCTCAGTGAAGATTTGCTGACCAAGACAATTGACGAAGCAAGGAAAGAAACTCTGGAAGAAGAAGCAAAAWCGAAACGACTCAGACATCACGATGAAAAACCGCAGTCTTCTCTGAGGAAGCATTTCATGCGTGGACATAGACCCGAACTTGAACCGCATCGTGTTAACGCGCTTATAAAGGAAKGAACTATCAGWAAACTCGCACAAAAACTCAAGTACGTATAGTATCTTATAATAGTCTTATAGAATCTCATATTATAGTTAGAGGTTTAGAGATGAACTGAAGTACATTAATTGCTGTCTTTCAAAATTGTGCTTATTGGAGATAAAATTGATTGTTTTAAAGAAATTGATTGGAGATAAAATTGATTGTTTCTAAAGAAATTGATGATCTGCAAAAAGAATTATTAGAGGGAGTTAAACTATTTCTTTTGAGGAGGTAATATCTATATCATAGTGGGGGTAGGGGACTGTTGTTTACATCTTTTAGCATGACACCAAGTCTTCGGTTGTTCAACAGTTKAGTTTAGTTTTGCTGTAGTTAATATACTGTCTTCAGTGTGATGAGTTCATAAAGCGCTGTTAAACTGTCTTCACAAARTATTTCCGTCTTAAAAGGCAAAAAGTCAAATTCGCAATGATGCATGGCAAAGTTAAATTTCATAGTAAAGTTCATCAATCTTGTGGCATCAAAGCAGTCATTAGCATTGAAACGCTTTACGAGATGCTTTGTAGAATGTTTTTTTTGCCTGAGGGAATTTAACAATGCGAATTGTTATTATTTTTTTAAAGGATCTTTTGTCTTTGGAATAGAGTCAATGCACTTGTAGCGTGAAATATGATCAAAATAAACAGTAAATATTAGTGTCTATTTACTGACTAATTAACAATGAGACCTCGAAGGGGACTGGGCCACGATCTGATAGCCCATGAGGCCGAGAGGCGTCTCATTGTTTTAGTATTACCATACTAGTTGGACAAAAAAATGAATGAAATATATAAATATCAAAATTGTTTTACTGCTAAAACTTCACGCATACAGGTTCAAATAAATTTGCATAAATTATCGCCGACTTCGTTTGATACACTTGGCATGCTGGTGAAAGCTGGTTTGAATGAGCAAACTTAAAATGGTTTCTTAGCACATTGTTTAATTTTTAACCCGCAATATTTCTAAAAGAAAATCACAATTGGCGCTTTTCACTAGCCGAGGACTATCAGAGCGAAGGATTTGCAATAGTCCACTAGTATGGTAATAAGTAGGATATCATTGAACCTGAACAATTCATGAAAGCAAAAGGCAATACACAAGAGACTTGACAACTGCACTAGCTCTTAAATTCTTTCCTTGTGGAATAAATAATAATAAACGACTTTCCTTTTGTTTATAATATTGTTTTCATTTAAAACTCTTGTACATTGACCTTATAGTTGACATCCCGAAAATCATGAGTAATTGAAGTCGAACCATTCACTATAATTTGTTTTTTCTTGAAGAATGACTCCCAGCGCACTGGAAGGTCTGGAGAGCGCCAGTTTGGATGCTGTGTGCCGTAAAGCCTCTAGAAGAATAGATGTAAAGGGTAAATCGTCCTACTTTTATAAGCGTTTTCGCACGATTGATGGGAGTAGAAACAACCGTGTTGGAGGAAAAGCAAATACACCCTTCAGACGTCTTATTGAAGCAGACTATGGTGACGGCCTTTCAACTCCACGTAAAGCCAAGGATGGTTCAGAGCTGCCTAACGCACGTTTTGCAAGTAAAACGCTGTTCGACAACGCAAACAAGCCTTCTAAAAAGCTTTCTCACATGGCGATGATTTGGGGTCAATTTCTTGATCATGACATCACACAAAGTGCTGAATCAGACGTCGATTGCTCTCATGAGTGTGGTCCAAAAGGAGATTGTTTCGGCATCGCCATTCCAAAGGGCGATAATGCGTTTAAAGGACGATCTTGCATTGAACTAAAAAGGAATGTTCCATTCTGTGGCAAGCGCAAACGTGAGCAGATTAACACTTTGAGCGCATTTATTGACGCATCTGSTGTCTATTCAAATGACGAGAAAAAGTTCGAAGAACTTCGTGATCCGAATGATAAAGCTCTACTTATCGAAAGGAAAATTAGTGGTYGAAAAAATCTTCTATCGGCGGACCAAGATCCTAACGCCTTTTGTCGAAATCCAACACAGCAACCATGTTTCAGAGCTGGAGATCCAAGAGTCAATGAAAATTCAGGTCGGTTTTTCACCAGTGTTACCATAGGAACTGCACAATAATTATCAGGGAGGGAGGGTTGASAATTGTGAAAAAAGCGAAAACGTTAATGACGTTCACAAATGCCCTTCATACCATAACTTAAAAATCGGACTATTCCCCCTTTCATATCCCCCCCCTTTCATGTTGGAAGACTGTGTCTTAAAAATCGGACTATATCCCCCTCCCCCCTCTTTCATATCCCCACCCCATTTCATGTTGGAAGACTGTCTTCTAACCTTACTAACTATGGTCTAACTAGAGATGCTCCTTAGCTCAGCTGACAGGAGGTGCTGCCAGGACGCTCAACGGCTAACAGAGCACAGGGCACACCATCGGGAACTCTGTAAAAAGCTTAATATTAAAATTCTTGAAGGTCCGAATCCAAGTTCATCCCTATCAAAATAAGCGTCAGTTTTTAATTTGTTCATCGTTTTTATCTAAATGAGTAAAGTGTGGACAGCAGCGAAAAAATGAAAGCGCTGGAGCTGTTGCAGAACGGGAAGTTTCATCTTTTCTGTTTCTTTTCTYAGTTCAAATSACTGAGATGGCTGGACACCCTGGGCAATTAGTGCTTAATTTAGAAAWATCAGCGAGCAAATGACTGCTGTTGTTGCCACCCTTCTGTTACAACTGATAACATAGAATAAACAGGTATCCCACATTGTTTCATAACAAAACGAAAAATAATGTCTTTGATTTCTTATTAATCATAACAGGACTTGCATCCATGCATACCATCTGGAACCGTTATCATAACCTTATTGTTACACAGCTTAGACGTTTTTTACGTRYTCGAAAAAACACCAAAAAATGGACTCCAGATTACTTGTTCTTTACGGCTCGTAAAATAATTGGTGCTATGGTGCAGCATATCACATTCAGGGAGTTTTTACCAGCCATTCTGAGTAGATCAGCGGTAAGTTGAAACAAACAACGGCACATTATCATCAGGTCGAGAGCTACGATGCTCTGCCCTATAAAACCTTTCCCTATTTGCTCTGCCTCCTTAAGATTTCGTAGCAATCATCGAAAAATAACATTTCAAAAAGGAYGTGACGTTGTAGCAGCTGAGATAGAAGGTTGTAGTTTGATTCATCCATTCTTGTCGCATATGTCAATATAACCAATTCTTTTCTTCTCACGATGATCGGCCCTAAGATTAGCCTTCACATGTGTCGAGCAATTGTTCAGCAAAACTCGGTCTTTGTTAACGCGTRGGTAATAGAAGGAATGCTGCAGTTGAGGTTTTCAGGATAGGACGGTTTTCCATGATCTTCCCTCTCTCAATCTGCCTTCCTTCGGTTCTTTCTTGACTCTTATACTAACAGTATCTCATTTCTTAACAGCGAATACGGTCTAARTTGYTTTTGGGACGCCTCTATAGAGTGAGGAAGAGACGTCTGTCAGTAAAGCGCTTCTTTTATTTGAAACGGTTTAAAAAAGCAGATCCTTCAATCTTCAACTCCTTCGCCACTGCTGCTTATCGCTTCGGACACAGCTTGGTACAAAACCAGTTAAGCCGGTTCGCAGAATCTGGCAAACCGTCAGTGTGTCCCATTTCTATGGATAATTTCTTTAACACAAGCTTCTTGTACCAAAGATCAGAAGGTGGAGTGGATTCGATTTTAAGAGGGCTTGAGGRAGACCCAGCACAAGAAGTKGATGGGTAAGTCGGTAAATGAAAAAATAAAAAAACTGAAGCTAACGCTGCTGCATCATTAGTTTGAAGTAATTTTGWATTAAATTCGCTAACGGGAAAGTGCTCGACAAGAAATATTYTCGAAAATTCCCGACTGAATCTTTCTTTTCTTTTGTTAAAAAACATTCAAGTCTATCTGAGAAAGTCCTAGAGAAAAAATTAAATTATTTTTTATGTGTTTACATTTAGCACTTACTGATGAATAAACACAAACAAAATATGATAATAAAACAGCTAGCGCGCGTTGTATTTGCTTGATTTATTCAACAATATATTTATGAATTGATAAGATCCAATACATACAGCCCTTTGCAAAAATTATGAGAATTGTCTAAATATCTAAATATCACAATATCCATATCCATATATTGTCCGGAACACGCGGGTTTGCTAGAATAATTCATTGTTGACATCGAGAAAATGTTCAGAACTACGGATATGTAAGTCGCCAAAAACAAAACTAAACTACAAAGACAAGGGAATAAGGGCATCGCGCGGGATTACCCATCATGCACTTGATATTATGATATTTAGATATTTCAACAATTCTCATAATTTTTGCAAAAGGCTGTATGTATAAAAATAATACATAATATTAAGCATGCATGAGGTGGCTGCCTGTGGCATCGACTGTTTTTCAACGAAGTAACAAATAGAAAACAATGTGTGCGTGCAATAATACAAAACCGCACGTCTGATAGGTCGTCGAGACAACTTCTGTCGCATCCAAACTAAAGATCTGGTGGAAAGAGATAAACATCGCGCTCTTTTCTTTTGTATTATTGGGTGTGCACATTGATTTCTCTTTGTATTTTGATCTAACAAAGTTCTTCTTGTTATAGCAACGTTGTCAGCCTGAAGATACCCGCTTAGGATGAAAGCTCGGACAAAGAAAGACAATTTTGTCTACCCAGTGGGATGAAAGTGACGTAAAATAATTCCCTGCCCCTCCCCATGGGTTTAAAGGGAGGGGGGTCAATTGAATGATGTATGAGCATGATATCGTGATGTCATCATGGGCTAAGAACCGATAGGAAAACCTCATTTTATCTATATCATATCGTAGGTCCTTTGCAAAAGCGGTCCACGAAAAGCTAGTAAGATTTGCCAACGATATGGCTGATTTGCCGGCCTTGAACATTCAACGAGGTCGTGATCACGGAATTCCTGGATACAACCGCTTCAGAATACTTGCAGGCTTAAGGAGGGCCAAAAAATTCAGCGACCTCAGAGACGTAATGACGAATGAACAGATCAGGAAACTTAGGAAAGTGTACAATCACGTTGATGACATCGATTTGTTTGCTGGTGGAGTTATGGAAAAACCTTTTAGAAATGGAGCCGTAGGAAAAACCTTCAGCTTTATCATTGCCAAGCAATTCCACAATCTTCGTTTTGGTGATCGATTCTGGTACGAAAATCGCGGTCAGTTTACCCCGCGTCAGCTTCGAGAAATCAGGAAATCTTCGCTAGCCAGAGTGATTTGCGACAACAGTGACGGAATCAAGTTGATTTKCCCGAMAGTCATCACCCCGGGAAGAAGGCGAGTACAGTGTAGAAGGTTACCGAGAATCAACTTGAGAGCGTGGTTGTGAAGTCCTGCAACACATGACCCAAACCATTTTAACAAAGGCTGATTTATTTTCCCTTATTTCATACTTGATTCAGTTTTCTTTGTTATTCATACACTGAGTGTTGTATCTAGCTTATTCCACAGCTCATTGTGTATTCAAGTGCTTTATATCGAAGTTTCAGGGCAATATATAGATATTGCCCTTGAATGCTAATGTACTTATTGCCCTTGAATACCTAATTAACTACTACGTTCAACTTAGAAATTTTCCGTCTGAAACTTTAAACTTGAAAGAAAGAAAAATTCAAATGACACCAAGTAGATTCGAACCCACAACCTTAGCTTTGAAAATCCTATACTTAACACGTTATGCTAACTGACTAATCGATGTCAGTTGTGGAATAAAACAGTTATTTAAACATTGTCCAGTTACTTGTTACAAAAGGTATATTGTTAGCATTGGTCTCATGGGACTAACGAGAAAAATGCTTATGCAAATTATTACCGTTGGGAATTGTCAATACAGTAAATTTCGTAACCTTTCTAATCGAGGTTTTGGTTTTTAATTCATATGAAAACGGCTTCTTTGCCTATTTAAAAATAAAAATATTAATGCAGTGCTTGGAAAACTTCTTCAAGTATGAAATAAGCCAGATATAATAAGTAAGAGATAAATACCTCGAACGTCGGCAATAAGCCTATAAAGCCCTCGGGGCCTACGGCCCCTCGTGCTTTATATGGCTTATTGCCTCCGTTCTCGGTATTTATCTCTTACTTATTCCACAAAATCTTTAACTTGCACYTAGGCACTGTTAATTTTAATTTGCTTTGATTGGTGGTACTGTATTCATGTATTCACAAAATAAAGTTGACATGATTAAACAATAAAGCTTTGTTTTTATTCTATATCCACGTAACAGATCAATTCATATTTCGCGATCAAAAATATCTCATTACTTTCTCTTATTGATTTACTCAACATGGTGGCAATACAGCTTTGTTCATGAGTTCATATTAACCAAATGCAGCAAATGGCTCCTATTTTTTTCCTTTTTCGTTTTTTCTTTTGATCAGTCAGTCATAACACGACTGTTCGGATAAAAACCTAACCGCTTGTACTTAATTGGAATCATTTTTAAGTGAATTTAAATAAAAAAAWATTGTACACTCTCTTCATTGCATCTTTGGACAATAGTGCTTCTACACGACTGTACAATTTTCTCAGCAGGAATAATCTTTCCACACTTTGTCCATAARTTATCTAAAATCAGGACAACAAAAAAAAGATTGTAAATTGGTCGTGACATTCTCTGGGATATGAGACGCAAATATTTTCTTCATCACCGTCCACTTTGTGCATATCAGCACCTTCTATAAAAATTCCTATCTACGGTCCCGATTCCCCAAGCCTTCCTCGTTGTCTATTTACACATTTTCGTGCCGAGACACTACTCTAGGCGGGGTCTATATTATAGACTCTTCGACACCCTATAAATCTGCTTCCTGTTTATGCTTTAAACTCTCTTTTCGTGTAATCGATGTCAGAAAAAGGATTACATACAACCTGCATCTCTAGGTCTAGTAATTGCAACGCTGTCGCGATTGAATCGAATTGAAGAAAAATATATCGTGCAAGACTGAGATACAAAGGTCATGTTTAAAGCTTTTGGCTTGCAATTTTCAGTGCAAACATTAATTGAGTATTACTAGTGCATTTTATTGAAATAATATGCTTTTGATATAATCATGAACACTGTCATCACTCAAAATGTCTTCGTGATTTCGTCCAGGGTAAACCTTGATTAGAATTCCATGACGTTGTTGAAAATTTTTGCACGCCTTTAAACTTCGCGCATTTACAGTGCCATCTCCATCGCCATATGCTATACTGGGATTTCCATGTGGAAACTCGCCCGGTCCATATGTATACCTTTCAGCGGTGCCAATACCAGATCCAAACAAACAATAGAGGGTCACGTGTGGTGAGTATTTGTGGAGMGGTGATATCAAGCTTTGAACATTCCTTCTCACTAAGGACCCCTTAGGAAAACCAATGTCCCTGAAAAAGTCATCAAAATCTTGGGTAGTGTAAGAACGGGACGGTGTCCTCAGCAATACCTCATCAGCTGACCATAGCTCCTTGCTAGGTAACATGAAAGTGTGGCTGGAACAACCAAGAGGTACTCCACAAGCGTCACCTGAAGCGTATCTCCATAGTAACGGTGCAGCGCCACCCCATATACCTAATAGTAAAAATAAAATCGTATCAAATCAAAACAATTTCACACTTAAAATACCTAATAATAAAAATAAAATCGTATCAAATCAAAACAATTTCACTCTTAAAATACCTAATAATACCTGATAACGCTATCCATTGCTTTATATAAGTGTTTTTCCAATGGTTGGTCTGCCTGTTGAGAAACGCCAGTGTGTATGGGCAGCCCAAGCTGTGAGTCAAAAGTGTTACTTTCTTCTCCCTATTCATCTTTGACGTATCTTCGATAAGTTTCTTAAGTTTCATGAAATACACATCTCCAGAATCTAACAAACCACAGAATATAGACAGTGTATTTGGGCTATCAATGATCGTCACACTCAGCATGTAACACTAATGTTTCGATAATGTTAGCGAGTCAGATACTTTAAAAAATGGAAGGCAACTAAAAAAAAAGGTTTGCTACCAACTACTACTCTACTGYCTATTTCAAAGGTTGACGGTGTAACGAGTCTAGCGATATTAGAGATCAGAGTATCCCTAATGTGTATGCCCTCATACAGGCATATAAGATGGGCATTCCCTATACTTAGGAGTCGTTAATTCTTTCACTTTAGTGTTTATGAAATATTTGTGGACTTTAACACTAGCATCAAGACGCCGCCTGCTCGTGCGTGATATAACTGCAGCTGTGACAGACTGTGTCTTGATGCTAGTGTAAAGTAACAATATAATCGTGAAACCGGACCASAATCACATCCACTCCTATCATCTCATAATACAGGTGTCCTTTCAGGGGTAAATTTCAGAATTTCCGGGACAAGTGTGGCCCAACCTCGGGGTCTCGGACACACCCAGCCAGTCACGCAATCATGGAAATTCTTTAGTACTGACAAAAAAAAACTCCAAATACAATGATAAAAAGAAACAAACAAAAAGAAAAACAACAACAACAACAAAGCAAAATCATGATCAAAACTCAAAATCTACAAATATTTCATAACCACTAAAGAATTAACGACTCCTAAGGTACGACTAGGMAAATGCGCGGACAAACACTGATTAGGGACGACGAAGARCCCCGCCTCCTTTTATAACAGGGTCCTTCCCACGGGTTTATCCCATCCCGATTTTACCTGGTGCATATCTGAAATCATAGGGAGCTGCACGGACCGTTATCCCTCTTTCATAACCCCAGGAAACAAGTGCGTCAACCATTGGTTTAAAGTACTTGGTCAAGTTCATAGTGTCTAGGTATTCGATAGTACTGGTYTGACCAAATCCAGGAACACGTATCGTAACTCCAGGTGCATTGTGGAGGCTGTTAGTCGACCAATCGTACACCAACCTGAAAACCCAGTCAAGTGTGAGAATTGAATTGAAAAATATGTACAATAAATAGATAATCCTAACTATGAAAGAACCATATATCAGTTGTCTAAGGAACTTGTCATTAACTCTAGGAATATACATTAAATGATTACCAACCCTGACTGGTGAACAGGTTCTGTTGTGCTTATAATTCCTTAATAGTAAAAGGTCTTTTTCACGAACAACGTCTATGCAATCAAGTGTATCTTTCAAATAACATTTCAGTTCTCCTCTATTTTCTCCTCAATTTMTTTTGTGTCTTAGACACTGTAATATTTTCATAAGAAATACCGTAGAAATAGTTTCATAGTTTCAAAGTCTTGGTGTAGTGTGTCGAAAGAGGTGATTTTAAAAACGAAAACAGTTTAACATATAGCATGAAATYGTTTCCCTGTCCCAGGATTAACGTGTTATCAAAAATTTCTTATTGTCTTTGATGGATGTCAGTYWAATTGRASTTTTGATGGTTGRGGCGTAGATAGCTATTCCTTATTTTTCCGATTTGTCTTGAACAGGGTATGGATTTTAACCTTCTAGTGTCTTAAACAGGGTCAGGGTTTTAGACCACTGGCGGCACGTACCTATCCAAAACGGGGTTGAGGGGGTAGGGAGGAAGGGGGGGGGGATGGTAGCGAGGGCTAACGATCACCGAAGGCTTAGACAGGAATTTTCGAAATATGATTTCCAGCATTTTGAAGGGCTTTTAGCCATGACACACTTCATGAAGTGTCAGAAACTATGAAAATATTACTTGACATTTTCAAAATAGCAAAAKTTATTTTCATTCTCACAATCGTGCGGATAGTAGAGGTCATTTTTCATCACATTTTCTAAAAAGCAAACGATATCAATGCCAAGAAAAAAATATTTAGAGGCATAGTTCGAATAACATATAAGCAACTAAAGGTTGCTGAGGAGACGATCTTACCGCATATTATCAACCCAACAGTCGTTCAGTTGTGGGAAAAGAGACGATTTCTGCAGCCACATGTTTACATAACTTGACGTTTTTTTACGGCAATACCKGTGAATGGTGGATGTCTTATTTAGCTTTGCTTCAATCTGGCTCCCCCCTGTACCGGGAACTAGAGTTATACAAACAAGACATTATTAAGTTTTCATAGTATTGCTTGATAAGCACTGGATCAGCTTTAGCTTAAAAATAGGCAAGAAACTTTCGAGATTATGTATTGATGAGACTAATCTTCGGTAAATGTTATAGATTAGAAGCTTGATGAAATGTGAATAKGTATTAACCTGATCCACCCTGGACACACTCAGGTAGCTTTTTAGATATTAGATTCTTAATATACTCGGGGTTTTTCTGTACAATGTAATTTATAATATGTGTACAGTCTAGTGTACAGTACATGTTTTAACAAGTGCAGAAAACTAAAACGGAAACAAAAGCTATTCAGTAGTGCAATGCATGAAAAGAAATCAATATGATGTCGGAGGGAAACAAAGTATGACYACATTACTTACCAATGACGACCGGTGACTTGATAGAATCATACCGAGCTACAAGAACGCAAAAACGCAAAAAACAACTGAAGAGCAAAAAGAAAAATACGCTGAACCAGTTTTTCATACTCATCAGTAATAYTTAGGTACTTGACGTGCGTAGTCTTGGCTTCAACAAGTCTTTCTAAAAAATGCCAGCGGGAGATTATCTCAAACCAGCTGGATGTATGTCTAATTTTTACAGTTTTTCCTCTGGGATTCTCAGCTAATTAAAAATAAACACATGCATGAAAAAAGTATAACTAACGAAATCGATTTTTGCGTTACGCCCTATTTTGCCGCTCCTCTAATTTTCAACATTAAAATCTTACTCAATTTTAGGCTAGTAACGAGGTTAGGGGATCAGAGACTAGCGTCGACTAGCATAACTTTTTGGGCTATCTTGGGATCAGGGATCAGGATTTAGGCTCAGTATCCAGATCAAATATAATCTGTGATCAAAGGTTTCAAKCTGGGATCGGGATCAATTTTCAACGGAGTTTTGGGATCGGGAACACGTGAGTCTAAACTACATTATAAATTGATGCATCTTCATTGTTTCCGTTATTACTACACTTTCACTATCCAACTCAATACTAATAGCCAATGAYAATAAAACAACATAAATAATTTTAAAAAACGAACCGAGCTAA